TGAAATTGCTCTGATTGGCTGTTGGTCATGATACCCAATTCATATCTGATTGGCAATGAGCATACAAGACAAATAGCATTACGGAAATTTGTTGTGTGTACTGTACTCAATTTGTATTGCGAATAAAACTTGTTCAATGTTTTGCCATAGACACTGCAATATAGTAGGTATTAATTTTTCGTACCTTGTAATTCACATATCATTTTTGATCATTGTCAGTGAAGATGAAAATCAGAGAAAAAAAACAAAAACAAGTAAAAATCATTTCATTTTTCTTTGAAAAAATGAAGCGATTACTTGCAGGTTAAATAAAGTAATAAGTTGACTTACCGAGATAATACGGCTGATGACAATGCCTTCCTCATAGTAACTCTGCTGACATGTGATTCCACGGATGTAGCTGATTTAATAATTGATTTATCATCTGATAGCACATATGTCGTTGTGATTGCCGAATCTCTGATCAGTCCTAATATTACTCTTGGACTGGTGAACTCTCCCGAATCTGGTTTTATACACGATGTATAGTCTTTGGATTTGATGACGTTATTGCCTGTATTAATGTAGTGTACTAAGCAATCGCCAGACGCATCAACCTGGTGAATAATTGAGTATTGAGTAAATTTGCTCAGTGATCTGAAATGATTTGCTACAGAGAATAACATGATTTCATAAAATAAAAAAAAAAAATAAATCAGCCTTTAAAACTGCTAACTGCAAGCAATTGTATTTTTCGGGCTTCTTGAAAGATCTTAAACATTCTTGTTATTGAACCCTCAATGATCATTGGTATCTTACCTCGCGTCCACCATTCTTATTTACTTGAAAGAGACTGGCAATTCCACGTTTAATGTTAACAGACGGCGTTGGATCCTCGGTGGATGCAAACAGCTGTACTATTTTGGAATCTTTAAAATGTACATAAATGGGATCTTTTGTAACCTGGTTGCACGGTGCACCACTAAACACATTATCGGCATCGTTTCTCGGCACTGCGCTGGTGAGTTTACACTCCAGAATCTGCCAACAAAGAATAAGATAGAGCATTGAGTCCTTACTAAAAATATATAAATTTTACTTGTACTTATTAGAGGGCGCCACGTTACCGATATAAGTTATTTGGCTGGTTATCAGTGTCCCTGGGAAACGGCAAGTAGGTGACATTTTAAAACATTCCAATTGTTATCCTTGGAAAACAAGTCTGTAATACCTACTGCAATAATACCATGCTGATCCAGTCTGCCTGCTTAAACTTCATATTTCAAATGGTTCTGGTATTTATCCCGGTTTCCATGCAGAGTGAAAACATTCGTGCAAAGTTTGAGAGTGAGAGGAAACCCCAGTTCCATATATTGAATGACCACAAGCATATGCGCTGATGTCAGGTACGGTAACCAAAAGAACAAGAAACGTGAACGTGATGGACCAATCTGGCCTCATGTGGCTTGGTGCGCCATGACACTTTGGGTAGGAACCAGCAAAATTATTTCTTTAAAAAAAACAGCACCCTCAACTATATTTTACTTTTACTGGTTAGAGGGCATTATTCAACAAATCTCACCTCCAACTTTCCTAGAATATTCTGTTCATTTTTCCACACCAAAGTCACTTGAACATTTGAATCTAATTTGAATCCGGTACTAGATTTTATTGATAACTGTCCTTCATTTGTCGGTTCATTTAATAAAACATCTGTAGAATAACTATATCTGTACGGCGTTCCAGTTTCGTACGTCAGTGCAAACACTGTAGAAGAAAAAAATAAAAACATTGTAAAACTGAATTACCTGACATTACCTGATGCATTTATGAAAATTGATAGTGAGACATTACTTTGAGTATTTGACAACCTTTCAATACTAGTAAGAAAAAGCTTTAAAAACTCCTGAGGAAATATTAAAATTAATTACAGATTTAAGATTAGCTTATTTTAACAAGAAGCTTATCGGTTGATATAGCTCTACTCTTTGAGATGCACAATGTGAAATCAATTTGATCCATGGTATTGAAAGTGATTATAGTTAATCCTGAAAATGTATTATTATGCAAATAAGGTCATTAATATGCACAGGTTTCAAAAAACAAATTATGTAAATAGGGTAATTAATATGCATGGTATTCAATTTTCATAACTGTATACTGTAATAATAAGTCATGTACTTTAAGTAATCATTTACAATATATATGATCCTCATAGAGCAAATTAGTTCAAACAATTTGACAAAATAATTGACTTGGAAATAACAAATGTCACTCATCCCTGATCACAAAAATAGTTTTAAAATGGTGTAATGCAGGTATTGCATTTATTTTGGTAAACCACTATACTTCATATATTCACATTCCCAACCACCATTTTTTTGGTGAGAAAAACAGTTTGGTGAACATATTTTTATATCTGGATTTTGTGAGCAACAGCAAAAATTATAGCCATTATAATCATGGAAACCTAAAAATATGGTTAAATAGTTGCCTTTGATCAAGGTTTGGGAATAAGATGTCTTCCTCAAGTATTGAAAAAAGTTTTCCACGCTGGGATGAAATGATAATACATGTATGATGTTAGTTTAACCTCTGACCCATTGGTAGATTCAGCTTCAAGAAACCTACAAACATTTTAGGACATATTAATAAATCAAAAATATTTATCAACACAGATATTATCTTGAAATGGCAAAATCTGACCCACACCTATCTACCTATACTACATATAAAAGTCTAACTTGAAAACAAAGGATGTCAATCAACGAAATTCTATGGTTTGTCAACACATATTTTATTTTGACCCTATTGGTCTTGAAACTAGGGCAGTAATTGATCAATGTCATCATCATGTCAAAGGTCATACCTGGTCATAGTTCAGTCACTGAGAGATACTACATGTATACAGGCGATAAGAATAATACTACTATGAAAACAATTTCCACCTGTGAAAACTAGAACTGGATTTTAAACTTTTGAGTCAGATATTTTTCCCGCCCAAAATTTAGTGCGAATATTATCACATTTTGTAACATTCTCACTAATCTCATCATCATTTTGGATTATACAGACAAGTTCAGATATTGCTTTTAATTTTTGATCAAAAGATTTATCAATTTTTATCATTTTATGTTGGAAGGAGCAGACTGTATGAAAAATAATTTTGTAGATGGTGCCAAAAGTTGACAATGACATAAAGGGTTAACCTCCTGAACATTTGTACAGAAAAGTATACCATATTTGCTCTATTAGAAGCATGTCATCTCTACTGAAATCAAATCTAATCCAAAACTGGATTGTATACTGAATCATTAAAATAACTATATAGACATATGTCCCAACAATAAAGCAAATATGGTACTTAGGTACTCATTTTCGCTTAAAATAAACAAAGAAATTACAGTTAAAATACATAAAAATGTGCTAAAAATTGCATCAAAATGGGAATTTGAAAAACAATGGCACTAAAATGAAAAGAAATTCTATAAAGATATACTGCTGAAGGTTGGTGGTCATCGTTCCACATCCTCTTTTTCATGGGACTCACAGCAGTGTATGCAACGTGCGTAAAATATATTGTTTACATAAATTTAACATGTGTTGCGCAACAAACACCGACCTTTAACTGTTTAATTTCTCTGCTAAAAAGTTATGGTGTTCCTTAAGACTCATAAAAATAGCACGAAAACATCATAAATAAATCGTGTTGCACAATGTAGTAGCATACATGTACTTATGACAACTGTGCAGTAGAATGTTTATTCAGAGCTGGGAACATTTTGAACCGAAAAGAAACTGAAATTACACATTGCAAAAAATGCATAATGTTTGTTCTCATTTTCCCCCTTCTTGCTGATTTAAGTTGTGAAACAATGTATTATTTATAAACACAAACACGAAAAATTACAACAATTTTGCTGTTAAAAATGTTCACAATCGTACACATCATTTGTCGATGTAGCTCTTTCCATTCATTTTAGCTATCCATGGAAGATCTTAGCAGGTAATGTGTTACCATGGCGATATTCACGAATAGTTTATTGCTACAAAATTTGTTAATTGTCCCGATTCACAAATATTTGTCTCTTGCGAGTTTTACAGTACAACCGGGCTAGCACTCAGCAAAATGTGAACAATGACTGACGATTGAAATCATGTAAATCTGTGATTAAGACTGCAAAGTTTCAACTATATCGGTATTATCTTGTTTACACACCCTCTCCCTCTGAAAATATGTGCGCACATGTTGAACAAATCAATGATGCCTGGAGATATGATAAAATAGCACAACCATGACAACCTCACCCTGACTTTTATATTTAATAAAACTATTATTACTTATTATAAGAGGCAATATCTTTAATTTGCTGCTCTATTGGGAGGTTTAAATGGTTTCAAATTTACAAGTTCAAATTTTGTTTAAACAAGCAACATGCACATGTAAGTTGTATGGAACCCATATTCAACATAACATGTCGCGACGACCTTTAACTTATTCATCATGTTGCCCCCACCCCCCCACCCACAAAAAATATAACAACGTGTAGCATTGTAGCTAATTTGCATAATAATAGAATATGTATTGTTAATCAATGCTCTTTCGAATTAGGCTCTAGTTTATCTAATATCCTAGTACCGGTAGTGGGTCCCTATTTTATAATGCTCTGTGGTGAACTACATATGTATAACTTATTGGTGTCAAAGTGGCCTCCTAAGGATAATACAGGATTAACTTGTTAAAGCGTGAAACTACTAAACTTGAAATTAGACAAGTTATTCGAATCATTAAATCATTGATTTTACAATTACATTTATGGAATACTTTACATGTAATTAGACCAGCCCATGTGAAATGTGGTTTAGACCAAAGTCACAAACTAATAATAACTACCTGGTACATCAAGTCTCAGAAGTAATGGGGTAGCAAGTTAGAAAACTGGCTCACTAACCTGCTGACAACTTTGGTTTTGACAAAGCTGATTTGTCCTTCACAGACAATTTTGCATATTTTTCAGTCCTGTAAAACCTCATAAACTTATTTAAAATACTTTTTTATTAGATATTACTAGCATTTGATGGTGACAGAATGAAGGGAAATACTCAAATTGTACGTCATCTGCTTTAGTCAAAAACAAAAAAGTGGTTGGCGAATTAGTGAGCAAGTGAGCTACAAGTAACTTGCTGCCCCAAGACTCAAATATTATAAATTTGATAAAGAGGTTAACGATGACAAGGCATTACATCATGCGATGACTAGAGGGCATGGTATCTTGATTATTGTGTAACAATAGCGCTCTGTACTTGTAATACATACATTGTAAAAGTACATGTACCTTTGGTCTTATTAAATAGAAATTAAATTATAACCATCGGTTCCTTTGATGGTTTATATCAATACTTCACATGGGATTGTTTTTATCTGTTAAGAGTTTACACATGTGATTGTCATAGCAATGTGCTGACACACGTGCATAAGTACATATTGTAAAATTACTGATTGGATGATCCGATCAATCTAGTAAAATAGAAATGATGCAACAGAAAGGTGTTCAGCACGTGATTTGAAGATGACAAAATCACAAAATTCCATGTCGAGCATTACCAATTAAATTCTTGATGTGTTTCCTATACAACTGTTTTAGCATAATAATGGTTGGTGATATCATGCAAAGTTTTATAATGTATGTCCTAAATGTAGGTACAAATGTACAAGGCTAGACGTGTTTAGCACAGAATTTAAAACAGTATTGAATGATGGGATTTATTGTACAAACAACAATAATTGCTCCAAATTTAGCCCTTTTTGTCAATTTACTCAAACACAAAAACTCTCAAAAAAAATTATTGCCAATAATACAATGTCCATGTCATGTGACCTAGGCTGTAGAAATATTCCTTAATTTGTACAGTGCACTCAGCAAGTTTTCAATTGTTTTCTATAATAATAATAATAATAATGAATTTATTGCATCCTTAGAAATAATTTCAATAATCTATTGAAATACAAGACATCATTCAATATTTAATCATTTAACAATTTTTTTAATCTCAACTTTGTTATGGCGATCAGTGATTTGTTGTGACTCTCAAAGAAACTGAAGCATATACTGGCTCCATTAACAAAGCCTGTACAAAATGTGTTCAATGCTACAGCAGTTATAAATATGTCTGTCAAACCCATTCCTTTCATTTATGAAACAGTTATGAATGTCAATGGATGTTGAATTCAACCGACCAATCAACGAATGCAGTCGGCACAAAAAAAAACAAAAAAATGTTCATAAGTCCTTTCATGCACCAACTCTGCTGCAGGGAACAGAATTGAAAGAAACTAAAATTTTGTTAAAGTTGTTCTGAGATCATTTTTGTAGCTTTATTGAGGGTATTATTTATGTAATATATTGTTACATCGTACCATTGTTACATATGACAGGGCAGATCAAAACTAGAGAGGAAGTACTTAGAAAAGTATAACTATTAAAAATTACAAAACTGAATCTTATTATTAATATATGTAACTTGTATAATAAACAAATAAAGATACATATACTCTCAACAACAAAGGCATTCCCTTCATCTTTATAAAATTCACAATTCGAGCTGAACTGAGAGGTTTCTATTGGTTGATTGAATATCATTGTGACATTTTCAAAAGACGTTGATTGGCTGGTTCTGATTCAATTACCATTGAAATTTATAAATATTTTTATAAAGATTAATAGAATGTCTTTGTTGCGCCAAGAGTAACAGTTAGTAATTAATTAAATTTTCCAAATTAATAATTATATTAAACCAAGTAAATAAACCTTTAGTTCAGAGGTCAAAATTAAGGTCAGAGGTCAAAATTTGCCTGTCACGTACAGGCAAATGAACCAAGTGCCTGTCCCTGTGGACAAGTGAATAAAGATATTGAATTTTTACTAACTGACCGAAGTCCCAAGTTGCTCATGTTCAGACAATTTTTTCAGCGTTTCTAAGACTTATGAAATAATAATAAGCCAAGAATTAAAATTTTATTTTGAATAATAGGTATTAATCTAGTTAGGGACAAGTACATCATTAATTGGGACAGGTACTTTTATTCTCCAACCAGACAATTAGACAAGCAACTTTTCAATTTCAGCCTCTGTAGTAGGCAAATTTATGAATCTAAAACAGTAGCTAGCGATTATCTTATTAATATTATATTTTGAATGAATGCACAGTTCATGTAGATTCATGCAAGTATTATTCATGCATTATTGAATTATTAATTTACATGGACTCTAAAACACAGAATTTTTTTTTTAACCAAAACAGATTAACAATGCTATTTTTAATTTTATGATTGAGATTAAGTGCTGACCTTAGAAGAGATGGATAATACACCCCATTTATTTTTATGGTTTGTCCCTTGACATGGGTACTATGAATGAAAATAATGTCCTTCACAAGACAATGGTCATGGAAGGTACTGCTGAAAACTCCCTGCTGTCAGAGAGTTACACTGTAGATTCATTTCGAACAGTTAAACTTTAAAAAGCATACAGAATTAAGAAATTTTCAAATTTATGCTATGAATTCAAAAATATACCGATAGTCATGCCGTCGGTTTTCGTAGTACATGTACTTGTAGTACTTGCTGTACAAATCCTCATAACAAAAGAACAATCAGCTGTACCCATTGTTAATCGGTCTGCAAAACAACTTCGGAAAACCCCAGAAATAGAAACGTCAAACTTACCACTGGAAATGCTAACAAGAAAACTCACTGCAAAGATCTTCATATTATCGACTGTTCTGTACTCAGTATAAATTAAACTGTTACGTGTCCCGTACTTATTTATGGTGAAATGATCAAAGTTTCTCTTGGCGATCAAAGTTCATAAATCAGTATCAGGGTGGTTTTTGATCGCTGAGTTGCCAAGTTCTGATAGGCTGTAGATAACCGATGCCACGCAAGTAGGACTTCAATGTAAATTGCGAGCACTGAAAATTTGGCAACGGAGATGCGAATCGACGCCAGTGATGAGTTGGCAAGCAGTGGATGATGTAAACAAGTTTGACATTGTGAACAGTAATCAACTTTGCATGTAGCCATTGTTTGCTAATACACCGGAAGTGCTCTTATAACAAAGTTGATAACATTTCAGCAGTCAACTTCTCCACGTTTTTTTCGAATCATACCTCGTTGAGATACTTGTTTGTATTTTAAATGGCGTGAATACAGTTTTATAATACCTGCAAACAAAAAAGTTATTACACTTCATATTTCGATGTACAACAGCGCCACCAACTACAACTTACTTCTGACTACGAGATTTGGCGCGAGACTTGAAAACCTACAAAATGGCTGCCTTCACGAATCCTCTATGAATATAGAAACAAATCAAAGTTCGGAAAACAACAGTTAGTTTTTGAGCATGTTTTTATTTTTTTATTTATTGAGATTATCCACATTTATGAGGTAAATGCATTCATTATAGATTTATACCATTTAATAAGTGACCCGAACAAGCTTTTAGCGCGCTGTCATCCGCCATGTGTGTTACTCGCCCTGCGTACAGTGCTGTGTGTAAGGGGACGCGTTTGGTTGATAGATGTCCCCACCACAGGGTGGTCAGTCAGTTCGCCCCAATGCACATTCGCCCCAGACCAGTTCGCCCCAAAGTCAGTTCGCCCCAAAGTCGGTTCGCCCCAAGTTTACTGGTGTTCGTTTTCGCGGTTATGCGTGCAAGGAAATGTGGTTTTGAAATATTTTAAAAATTATACTTAAGTAAAAACCACATCGAAGGAGGCTGATCGCCGCGATTGTAGCATATCGCCCGAAGAGTCGAACCGGTGTCGTGCCATATGCGTCGTGATAGCGATACTTTGCCTTTTTTTTGCCATGCGCTGTGATTGCGATTTTTTGCCCCTTTTTCGATTGACTTATCTCCCCTGGCTTGCTTACAAACATGAATGAACCAACCAATCAATCAGTGTTGTGTGGTTTCGGCGTTCCAGTTTTAACGCACGGATTAAAAATACGGTGTCGCCATCTTGAACGTTCCATTCAAAAGGGGGTGGTGTGTGTCACAAGGACTGTGGTCACGCTAAAGGGATCACGAGACTTGTTATAATTATATATACAACCATAGACCCTCTTAGAGGGTCTATGATACAACGTAGTTATATTAACATTGTACACGTATTATATTTGTTTAGTTTTCAGAAGTGAAGAATTGTTATCAAGGGTTTATGAATGCAAGAACACAGTATTCATTTTGAAAAAATAAAACGTAGTAGTATTCTGTGTGTTTGTTCTCTGCCATTGTTGGCTCTACATTGCGTGATAGTAGTACACCATGCACACACCATCAAAAAGGTGTGACCGCGACACCTTTTCAGTAACGAATAACACCTATTAAACTGGGCGTCTAGAAAACCCAGTAACGTGGAGCTTTGTGACATGAAGTTGTGGTACAGCAACAACCAATTTATTTGTAGTCCATTGTATATGTGTTTTACATTCATTTTGTGACGTACTCCGTTATTCAAGTCCAGGGGAAATGTTGAAAATCATATTTGATTCTCAAAAATAAACATTACTCTGCAGTTTGTGCGCATACCTAGTACATGTATATCGCGAAACAATTGACCACACCCACTATTAGACCATTAACGGTACATGACTCGTACCGCCCATGATCGGCTTTGTATGAGTACATGAGAAGGGCCGCCCGTTAATCGATCTGACAGCTTGCACAATCACCCATTAGATAAGACGCACGCCGCTCATCGATCTATTGTTTTGTATCAACACCTCCAGTATCTATTAGGTAAGTGTTAAGTATAAGAGTGGTTAGCGCATATTAAATATGCAAATTTGCAATTTCCAATATATAATCCAAATATCCAATCAGCGTGATTTGAAGGGTATAAAGTCTAACAATTTCTAGGGT